TGCAAGTGAATTGCACTGTTTAAGTGAAAAGTACAAAATTAGTGCAAGTGAATTGCACTGTTTACATATACAGTGCAAGTGAATTGTACCGTGCACGTAAACACTGAATTTCAAAAAGCAGCCAGGAGCTGCTTTACTAAATTCGCGTGCAAAACATGAATTTGCATTGGCCCACCAAAATTATATTGCGTTTTTGACATAACCAAACATAATGTTTGTTGTGGTTGCTTCGGTAGAAGCAACCACGCAAGCAAACAACCTCTCTAAAAATTATATTAAATTTTATCTTTATTTTTTTGTTTTTAATTTTAGCAATAATTTTTAATTTTATTATTTAATATTAGATTGATTAAGATTAAGCTTTATAATTTTTTTTATTTTTTTTTATGGAGTTATTTTGATCTCATAACTCGATATGAGATTTGACAAGTTTACTCATGTTTGCTTTAACTTTTTTTTTATTCTTTTTATAATTAAATTTATAATTTTTATTATATCCTTTTACATTGAATTGATTGAGAATTGAGTTTTATAATTTTTTTGATATGTATTTTGTTGTTGTATTTTAATCTCATGACTTAAATTATAGGTTTGATAAATTTATTTGAGTATATTTTTTATTCTTATGGTTCATTATTCAATGAATTAACTTGGGTTGTCTTGTTTTTATCATACGAGATTGATGATAAAGAATATTCTGATAGGTATTGTTCAAGATTGCTATGAAATACCAAAACATAATATTCTTTCTTGGGCAAGAATAAACCACCATTTAGATAAAATGTTTTCCTTCCCTTTTCAATGATATCCTAGGCTGCTTTATATAAGCAATAAACCAACTCCTCCTAGCAAAATAAAAGGACCATATCAGCTAATAACATAAAGCATAAATTAACATGCCATGCGCAGCCCCATTGTTGTCTCGGTTGCAACTATCATGGCTTGAGGATTCCCGGTTTGAGAGCCAGACATTAGAGAGGCGATTGAGGGTTTCTTTTTTTAATGGAGAAGTTTGGTAGCCCATCTGTGTAACCCAGCACCAGCCCCATCTGTGTAACCCAGCACCAAGCCCTATCTCCAATTGCTCAATTTTGTGGTTCCTATCAAACCTAGCTCAGCCATCAATGATAGGACCCGTTCAAGATTGCTATACAAGATTGATAATTTTATCCAGGATTTTTTTAATTTTTTCCTTGTTCATTAATTTTTTTTAATGCTGTCAAGTCGTAGATTTTTTCTTCTTCTTTAAATACATTAACAATACTTGATCATTACTTAGTTATAGATCATCATGATGCTTAAATCTAAATTATCACTCAAATTTTCTTAGTTAAAGATTCCATCCTTACAATGGTTGGAGAAGCTATTTCACTTCATCACAATATTCAAACCCTTGATGTATTTCACGAGCATGAAACATGGAAGAAGCCGATTTTCCTTACTGAACACAAGGCAATAAAGAAAGGCGATTCCCAGGGTCAAGGAGGAGCAACATTACATATTCTCCATCAATCGAAAAATACCAAGGAACACAACAACCGAGACAATTAAGTGCTTTCCGACACCTTAAAACACCATAGATGAGCACTCATAAGACAGACCTCTTCTTAGCAATGACCTTCCTACGAAAGTTCACGTGCACTCTTCATTTTTTATAAATTTTATACATCAGACACGCTATTCCATCCAGGCAATGAGACTTCATTGTTTATGAGGCTAATACAATTTACAAGAATTCATTGCTTATCGAATAATGGCGAGAATCGAATCAAGATACAGCAAGAAGTCAATAACATCAAATCAATATTTCTGCAGAACATGTCTCCACTGCTTCTGTTCCACTAAAACCGTACACCTAGAAAATAATTACTTCACAAGTGGGTTCTAACCCCTACCCATCATATCAGAAGCTTTACGCCTTTTGAGAAAAGATTGCCTCACAATATCCTGCATGAGCACACCAAGCACAGTAATCAGTATCAGACCTTCCAGCAGTTCTCCGTTGTGAATGAATTTAGGTTACTATACTCCCAATTACAAACAGGTTTTAAGAGTTCCAAGAATCTCTAATACTTCATCCAACATTGTAACCGGAACCTTACCTACTTTCCTTTCATTGTGTAATACATAAGACTGAGCATTATAAGTTATCTTTTGTGAATCTTCTTGAAAAGAGCCCATGCACTTTTTCTTCTACTTAAAGAGCCCATGCTATTCCAATCTACTTTGTCCACCTATTACAGAAGAATTCAAAAAATATTGTAGACTATAGTGGATGCTAGGGTAGCTGTTTGGTGCAAGGTTTTAAAACATTATTTCCCATATCGAGCCCTGGAACCATCGATTTCAGGAGACGGGATCAAACAACAGTCTTACAAACGGAAGGTTGAGCCATGACTAACCTGATTAACTCCTGATCATAGGTGAACAAAGTAGATAGTTGACGGCTCAGCTTTGCAGAAACCATGACAGATTGCAGGGGTAGGTGGCGTGCTTCATGTTGAAATGACAGGTGTTATGGTCTCATGCATGGGAGTGATGATGGCCACTAACAGGGTAACAGAGATTTTTGTCACACGCAGACACTTAGGGTTGTTGCAGAATCTTCTACCAGCGATGCTATTGCATGGTTACAAGGATGGGAGAGGTGCCATGACAGATGAAAAGGTGCTAAACAAGGTATGGTTAATATGCAATTCTTTTTCAAAGGCAACTTTAAGACATACTTTACTTAGTGCAAATACCGTGGCTAGTAGTTAGGCAAAGCAGTGGACTGGATTGGTTATTCACTTCACAGAGTCATTCTGAGATCTGTTTGTTGTTTAGGTGGGCTGTTGCTTATCAGGAGCCTGTGCTAGTTGTGGTGTGTGGAGTTAGCTTGTTCTACTGATAAGCTTATAGTGTAGCTGGTTTTGTGGTTGGCCTTAGGCTTTTGATTTTTTTCATGTTTTATTCTATCAAAAGCAAAATGAGATCAAATTCAATTAATCAAAGAAAGCAAGTTTAAGAAATCACTTCAAAAAAATACAAAAAAGAATCCAAGACAGCAATGATTACCACCATTGTCAGCAAAGCCAGCAATATGTGGTGAAAAATCTCCTCCTGTTCAATTTCTTTTTGAACATAATGCATGAGAAATATAAATGTGTTTGTGGTCCCTGATTTGAGTACTCAAACATAGGAGACAGAATAAAAGCAGCGGAAATGATACAACCAGGAACTAGGCATGCTTGCAGGGAAACTTGGCGCAAGGAAACTATATATTAGAAAACACTGAACGGGAATAAAGCTTGCAAGCAATTTTTGTGTGAGACTATGGAATCCTTTTTGCAAAACATCTAATGGTACCTTCTCATACTTGCTTTCGTAACTTTTTGGCTCAGTATTTTGTCGCCTAAAACTTGATTTTGCATTTTGAGCATCACATTCCGATGTTTCAGCTTCTCAATCTCATCCAAAAGTTGTTTTCTTTCAGATTCCCAACCATCCCAGTTGGCATTTTGATACAATATATTGCGTTCATTTTCTAGCAGCGCCACCTCAAGTTGGTTGCATCCGTGCTACAAGAGTAAGGAATGGAATGTCATTCAAGAAGTTCTCAAACTTATTGCAGCTAGAAAGATGTGCGACCACAAGTTTACTGAGAAGAGAAAGGAGATAGAAAGTTTTTTATATAGCTACCACAGTACCAGTATTTAGCAATAGAAAAGATGGTTGAAATTAAATCCGTATTATATTAAAAAAAATCAGCAAAAAAGTATAGTGCAATAATACAGATGAAATGCCACAGGATATCATCTAAGTAGTTACCTCCCATTGGGAAAAAAAATTTTGTCACCAGAAAATTACACTAGCCAGGTTCCATTCAATTAGCATGTAATGGAAACACTAGAACCCAAGCTATATTTTCACTTCATCTGATTACAGATGCATCGAATATGAGTTAGAGCAAATTGCCATCATAATCTTGGATAGATAGGCATGGATGCACTAACAACCCAAAGCAATAGAAAGTAAGCTTAAAACTCTGAAGCCAAGCTCAACAACTAGTATCCCTCAAAATTCATCTGATTTGCAAACAAGAAAAAGGCAACTAGAATTAACATAACACAGTGGCTGAGTAGAAAACATTTCATCCAACTTACCTTTTAGAAATGAATCCTTCTTATCGACTTGCTTGATTAGGCAGTCATAGTAAAAACAGAAAGACAAGGGTGTATACTTGAAGCATCAGCTAAAAGCCCTGAAGTTTTAAGCAAAGTGATCAACAGCCCCCCTATGATGTGTAATTGGCTACAAATATTATTGATATTTTATTATTATTTTTTTCCAGAAGTTTTATTCAAAGAAAATAAAAAGGTTGTATAAAGACCCGATCAGAATTTAAGATAAGAAATAAACATAGACCAAAAAAAATTGACCCAGATTTAATGAAGTTAAAGGAAAAAATGGAGCCCAACTGGAGGCACTTCAAGTCAGCCACTAAGGAGTTTAAACATTTCAAGATCCAGCTAGAGCAGAAGGGATGGACATGATCACATTGCACAGGATAGCAGCAAAGACAAAACCATGGCAGAAAGAACATAAAAGTGATGCAGAGTACACAATTAGACTGAACCAAGGTGAGAGCGTGCAAAAAACCAGATAACTGGACAGAACCATGGAAAAAGTAAGGCATCAATATCATCTTCTTATTAATAAAATTTCATCATTCTCCTTAAGTTATGATGGATGAACATCCATCAACATTCACAAATATATCATCATGATCATTAATATTTTCAGAGATGCTAAGGGTAATACTCTACCAGCCACCACCAGCAGCAGAGACAGTTAGACTGAACCAAGCCGAGAGAAGTGCAAATCAGATAACAAGACCGAACCAATGAAGCTCTAAGACACTTATTGTATCTCAAATTTAATGAAATCCTCTGCATTCTCCTTAAATTTATAATGGATCAGCATTCATCAACATTCATGGGTGGTTCATCACAGATTTACAGAGATAATGTAAGTAATAGTTACAGATTTAGCATCAGGTTTTGAGACTAATGGACACTTTCTTCATGTGTAGCTGCTATCAACTAACCATTGAAGTTTTGTCTTACATCACATGATCTGATAGATTCAACTAACCAAGGTGAAGCGTGTTAATAATTTTTAATTCATATGCCCAACAGCATCAATGTAATGCCAACAAACAAATCAGCTTAGACTAGGTGAATAATTTAATGGGGTGGCGTACTAGAATAAACGAACACACACACACACACACACACAGAGAGAGAGTACTAGAATAAACGAACACACACACAGAGAGAGAGAGAGAGAGAGAGAGATGCACCATTATTTGTTGCAGAAACGGCTGTTGTGATAGTGTGTCCACTAGAATTTCTTGATTAGAAATAACTTTCTTTGAATTGCAGATTTCGTTTTTAAGGTTCCCTATCTCAACTTCTTTTGACCGCAATTTATGTGCCATCGAATCATTTTCTTCCCGACAGGATTCATTCTCCCTCTTCAACTGGCCATTTTCTTCCCGAAGATGTTGCAATTCAATCTCTCTCTTTTCTTTCTTTATCTGCCAAAAAGAAATCAAGAGACATCATGAAAGGTAAAAACAATGGATATTTGCCTCAAGTGGTGAAGACAATTAAGTAGAATGCTATACCTTACATCGTTGTCGATAATCAGCATCATTTTTTCTTTTCTTTTCCCTTCTATCTTGTGGAGTTACGGAAAAATTTATTCCATATTGTGGCATAGCTGGTTGGGCCAACATATGTTGAGGCACTGTCAGCTCTTCTAAACCCATACAACAAATGCATCACATTAATGGTCTAGCACTCCTCTATGAATAACTCTAGAATTAAAGGTGAACTACCATAAAAAGCATGCAATTATGTGTTGAATTTGTTAAAATTGGAAGTAAACTTTCACTGAGCATGAACATAAAACGACCCATCCATCTAGTTGCTTTGCTGACGAGGAAAGCAAAGGATGCTGCAAGCAAGCCTATCTACCCAAATTGGAAGTGAAGAAAGAATATGGAAGGATCCTTCCCTTCCTTCCTCATCCATCGTCCCTAACAGATTCACCGCAGAAATACAATTATACAAATTACTGGAATTAATCTTACAACTAACCCGATTTGATTTTTTTTAATAAGACTTACAATCAAGCCCTCGCGAGCAATTTTATACGAAAAAACAACAACGAGGCTTGCATAAGAAAATTCGGAACAAGGTTAAAAAAAAAATCAAAATAATTAAAGAAACGGTTGAGCTGATTGCTTGACAATCGCTTTCGTAGTCAAGATATAAATCCAAATAATAATAATAATAATAGCAAGTGTTGAGTAGTTACCTGCTGCTGTTGGGTGCTCCGGCTGGTAGTAGGGAATCATTTCATCCAATAAACCGTGACTGATCTATCTTCATGGAGAGCTATAAGTAATTTTAACATGTTTATATGAAAGAGTGGAGTCGCGCGAGACACCTTCCATGCCGCGCGATTCATTCTTATCACGCCACCGAACGCTCGATTCTTCTCTTCCAAGTTTCCCCTTTTTTTTTTAATTCAAAATGAGTACAATTAGATTAGTGTTAATGAAGTCCGCCCGTTCATTTAGGCTTAATTGTCTTAATTGTATCCCTGAACTTTAGTTCTACATCAGATTATACATTAAACTAAAAGAACTCCTAAATTCTCATCCCCGAACTCTTAATCTTGTTGCAATGTCATCCCTCTCTTAACTCTAGGGTTCTGTTGGTTTTTTAACCTCAGGCCTAACAAAACACCAAAAAGTCTGCTATTTAACGACATCTCCCCTTTGTTATATTTCAGAATTAAATTAAATTAGCTCAAGATGTATTTTCAAGAGCCCGATGGTAATGTTTCAATCAGTTTCTGTAAGCACCGGCTCTAGGAAATTAAGATTAATTAGAAATAAAATGGTGTAGATTAATGAGAGCAAATAATTTATTTTTATTTTGTAGATTTTATAGATGTTTGGTTGAAAAGAATGAGATGGGAATAGAGATAAAAATTAAACATTTGTAAGGATAGAAAACTTATTTTTAAATAAGAATGATAAAAGATTAAACATTTTTTTATTGTAGTTTAATGTGAGCCCAATGTTAATTTATTTGTTAATTTTTTTAAAAATAAATTTAAAAATAGTTTATTGAATAATCATGTGATTTTGGCGTTGGACATTGACTAGTGTTATCAAGTGAGTTTATTAATTTATTGTAATAAACACATTTAACATTGATTTTTCGAGGCATATAACGTTGGCAATAATCTCAAAACATGCACTGTAATAGTTGAATGGATTTTACTAGGAACCTTGAGCTTGAACAATCTCTATAGTGAAGTAAACTCCATATGGTCGAAAAGCGGTCCATAATTAAACTAAATTCAAAAGTCTTATTACAACATACATTGTAATTAAATTCACAAAGTAGTACAATATCTGATATTGTAAATTCCATTATATATATAGAAGGCTAATTATTTTGTCCTGAAGGACCCATTATTATTATTATTATTATTATTATAAGAGTAACAATTTTATAAACAAAATATCAACGAGATCTATCAAATTTGTCGTTAACCAATAAGTTCATCGTTTAGATCTCTCTTCCGAAAAAGCTCAAGCACTTTTATACTTCCTAAACCAAGCTTTTAAATTATCAATTATCACTAATTATTTTTCCTTCAATAAGTGAACATATTAGAATATTTGGCTTGATTTCTTCATATTCTTTTTTAATATATCTTTCAAGAATTTATTTTTACGATTTTTATTGTTGTTAAAAAAACAAAGAAAAAAAAAGCTAACACAATTGATCATAACTGCTTTTTCCCCCCCAGCTATTTCCAATCTCTGAGTTCAATGACATGTTTATGTCGTCACCAAAGAAAAATACAGTACCTTATAGGCCATCATTAAAAAATAAAAAATAAAAAAATAAAAATTGAAATGCCCTATTTTTTTATAATGGAAGCCAAAGAATGATGAAATGAGCTAGAAAATATATTAAAAGAAAATATTTAAAAAAAATGTTCGACTCTATATTTTGGTGGTCTTTTTTATTTATTTAAAGTAGCTTTTTTTTAAAAAAAAAAAAGAGCATTAAAAATAATGGTGAAGATTTCGAACAAATGGGGACATCAAATAAGGGTATTATATACATATAAGTTTCCTAAAAAATAAAACAATTAATTAAAAAAATATATGATTTCATATTTAATAAAATGTATTTAAGAAAATATAAAAGAAACTTGAACTTTTTTGAAAGAGAGAATTAAGAAATTTACTTGTTGATTAATGAGAATTTTGATAGAACTCGTTGATCTTTTGCTTCTTAATTAAACCTAAACTTACTGAAATTCTCCCAACTATATAGAGAATGGGTGGCGTCGACGGTCTAAAATCATTTTTAACCCTTCTTTTTATTACTCCATCACCTGCATCTGCAAATTCATGTCAAATATTGCTTCCCATATTTTGCTTCATCAGTTCCCTAGCAATAAGATAAAAGTAAAAAGAAGGAGAGTTAGGCAACAAAAATAAGAGATAAAAGAAGAACAAGGGAGAGACAGAGAGAGCTGACCTGAGAAATCGAGTGTGCTCGGTGGCCATGGCAAAGTCGTTGTCTTCTCGTGCTTTTAAGATCTTGAATATAAGACAGAGGCGTTGTTGATTGTACAGAGTTTGTCGCAATATCAGAGACGTTTCCTTGTTGAGTTGATCACATTGAGATTCAATCTCTTCGAAGCTCCTTCTGAGTTCCATTTGCCCATCTTTGATGCGTCGTTGCTGTCCACTTATCTCCGCCATGTCTTCTCTTAAGCTTTCCATGTTTGCTTTTAGTTTTCGGTTTTGTTTTGATCTCTGTATGCCAAAGATATGGTTTTAGTAAAAACAAACAAATTTTTCCAACATGATTTAATTTTTATGAAGTGAGCTTTCTTTCTTTCTTTACAACAGCTGAGGGGAAAACAATGCATAAAAACACTCCTCTTATGGTCCTGAAATTAGAATTTTCTGGAAAACATAATTTTCTTTTGTTTTTTTTAATAAATGACAAAAAATTTCTTGTGAGAAAGTTATGTTGATTTTATTTTTAAATAAATAAAAATAATTACATTGTTTTAAACAATAAAAAAGATCAAAATACTTGTAAGCAGTAGGATTATATTATTTTATTCTAGGATTAAATTAGTAATTTTATTATGAAATAAAAAAGAAAACAATTAATTTAAATACCCTCTATATAATTTGTAAAATACAATTGAGTTATAATGAAAAACAACATTTTTCTTTATGTCTGATACAAAGTTTTTTTGAGTCAAGAATAATTTTATCATTTTACTATTTCAATAAATAATAAAATGTCTATTTAGCTGTTTTTCTTTTACTATTTCTTGATCATACATTGCTTTTCTTTCTCTTTGCTTGATTTTTTCGGTCCTTTTCTTCCTCTTTTTTTTTTCTAGTTTATTCAGGTACACAAGTTGTTTAATTATATAGTACACAGACCATTAATAATCCACGTCATTTCACAATTAACTAAAACATTAAAAGAACTGGGATTTTTTATTTTGTTTCATGCATTATTCATGTAAATAGAGAAACATCTTCTCCTCTCTCTCTTTTTTCTCTTCATCCTTTTATTTTATATTTTAAGATTTTTATTTGTATTTCTTGTTGCCTAATTCTACAAAATAAGGTTTAAAATTTGAGTAAAGATACAAAATTAAAAGAAAGAGGGCTCTAATGTCAAACACGGATAAAACATATGGTTAATATATTAAAGTTTTTATAATTTTTTATTGTAAAAGGCTTTATTTATTGTAAAATTGATTATTGATATTCAGAACTGTTTGGTTCGAAGTTTTCTATACATTTTAGTACACTATAATTTTAAATCTTGAGAGGTTCCATCTTCTTTTTCTACAATGCAGAACTTAAAAACTCTAGCGTTATACGCCGGTGTCATGATTAAAATTAAGCAGAATTAGGCATGCAAGCTATAACTTTGTTCATAATAGTGTAGTTAATAAATAAAGAATTTACAAAGCAGAGGACATCTCTTTCGTATTAGTACAAGAAAACTCATTCTTAAAAGCAAAAACAAAATCATAACGTACTTACCCGAAATCTTAACTTGCTGCATCCCTCGTTCAGTGACCTAGTGTTCCTGAGTTTCAGAAATCTCTTCTCCATCACAGCCCTAATTAAGCCTACTCAAGTATTTATTCACCTCGAGAGATCCTGTAATCTCCTAATAGAGAACGGACTGCTAGTTCCCTGAGGGCAGTATTGATTTAGGCACCAGAATGTTTCAAAAGTTTCGAGTGCAGTGGCTTCAAGGCAGGCATCGATCCTATTTATAAGCAAGATGTGTATCTTCAGATCAAAGTCTTCCTTTCTTTTTCTTGGTCTCTCAAACCTTCGAGCAACGGCTCTTGACAGAAGCATGGTCGCGCGATATCGCGCGATGAGAAAGTTTCAAAGGCTCCGTTCGGTCCCATCAACAATTTAACATGAATTTGAAATTTTGAGCGCCCTTAAATTAACACCACTGGTCTGAGAATTTCTTAATTCCTACTCTTGCATACAACGCTCACCCATATATATGTTCTGAAATGAGAGTTTTTTTTTTTTTGTAGCTGACATGGCAGATTTATCAAGTCAACAAGAAAGTTTCGAAATCGGAATTGATCACAGCTTTAAAATTTTGAATTTAAATCTCTATTGCAGGCGTGTGTGGTTTGTTTTTTCCGTTAGAAAATATTTTTATAAAATTTTAATTTTTTTAGATTATTTTGATGTTAGAAATATTATTTTTATATATTTATAAATCAAAAATATATTAAAAATGATAGTTACTACAATGACAAATAGACCCTTAAATTATATTTGAGAGTATGATAACTTTTGTTTTTTTAGTGTTTTTATTTAAAAAAAATATTAAATTAATATTTTTAAGTATTTTTTGATGATTTTAGTTTTGATTTGTTGATGATAAAAATTAAAAAAATATTTCAATAAATTTCTCCAACGTGAACAAACACGCAATTGATTCTAACACGTTAAGCAAGATTAGATTTTTACAGGAGACTTTAATTAAACAAAGCGAAACTAGCCTATTTTAATCTTTCAATTGCAAAGTCTAAAATAAGCGCTCGTTGAAACCTTGTTCAACCGAATTATGCGATTATACTAGAAGAACTGAGAAGAAAGAATATTATATCTTATATTCATATAAAAGTTTGAAAATTGATTAAAAAATGAAATAATTTTGAAGAGAGAATACAAATTTTGATAGTTCCACCATAGCTATCAATTAACCACTCACCATAGCCAATAATTCGTAGCAGCACAATTGTCAATTATGAGTAGACCCATGCAGTTTATGACTGGGTCACCCGAGCACCCGATGGGGTAGTCAGCTGGGCCAACACCCATCAATAGCTGGGCAATGCATTCAAATTGGTGGGGAAAAGGCCTCTCTATTCTTCCGGTTAGCCTGCCTGGTCACGAGGGAATTTTTTTTTTTTTGGATTGAATTTGAGCGAGGAGGACTTTGAAGGGATAGTTTTTCACTTCGGACCAGAACAAATGACAGATTTTAAAAAAAAAAATTAAAATAAGTGTTTGAATCAGCATATCATAATTAATTCAAATATTTTTGTAAAAATTTAATTTTTTTAGATTATTTGGATGTTAAAAATATTATTTTTATATATTTATAAATAAAAATATATATTAAAAAATAACCTGAAATGATAAATAGTCCCTTAAATCATATTTAAGAGTGCGATAATTTTTTTTTAGTGTTTTTATTTAAAAAATATTAAATTAATATTTTTAGGTATTTTTTGATGATTTTAGTTTTGATTTATTGATGATAAAAATTAAAAAATATTTTAATAAATTTCTCCACCATGAACAAACACACAATTAATTCTAACACATTAAGCAAGATTAGATTTTTACAGGAGACTTTAATTAAACAAAGCGAAATTAGCCTATTTTAATCTTTCAATTAAAAGTCTAAAATAAGCGCTCGTTAAAACCTTGTTCAGCCGAATTATGCGATTATACAAGAAGAACTGAGAAGAAAGAATAATGTATCTTATATTCATAGAAAAATTTGAAAATTGATTAGAAAATGAAATAATTTTGAAGAGAGAATACAAATTTTTATAGTTCTTCCATAGCTTTCAATTAACCACTCACCATTGCCAATAATTCGTAGCAGCACAATTGTCAATTCGTAGACCCGTGCAGTTTATGACTGGGTCACCCGAGCTCCCGATGGGGTGGTCAGCTGGGCCAACACCCATCAATAGCTGGGCAATGCCTTCAAATTGGTGGGGAAAAGGCCTCTCTTCCCGTTAGCCTGCCTGGGTTCCTTGAGAACAAAATGATGACAAGGGAATTTTTTTATTTTTTATTTTTCGGATTAAATTTGAGCGAGGAGGACTTTGAAGGGATAGTTTTCCACTTCGGACCAGAACAAATGACAGATTATTGGTTTCATTTCTCCTTGCAAATTGATTAGTTAATTCATTGAATTAAATAAATCATTTAAGTCTTAAAGGTAACCTTTAGTGTTATTGATGCAATTTTCCACAATTTGTTTAGTCTTGGTAACAACAACCGATAGTGATTGGGACCAATTATTTTTGGGCACTTGCTTTGCATTTTCTGCTTGTACCAGAATAATCATCGCTACTTGCGCAATCTACACGGCGTGGACGATGAGAAAAAAAACAATTGACCAGAGAAGTTGGACGGATCGCTCGACTCCTAGCGAACGGATCGTAGTAATTAATCCAAACAAGCTTGAGTTCAAAATCTTCAAAATAAAAATAAAGAGGTTAGAGTTCGAAGTGAACGGTTATCGTTGGAAAGAGGAGTTGGAGAATTATTCATTATTGAAACGAATTGATTAAGATTTTTAGAGTGAGAAATCATTTAATACTCCTTTTATTTTATTAGAGTTGAACATCATTTATCTAACAACAAATTAATCTCATATTTGTTTTTGTTATAAAAAAAATTATCATACTCTTACTCATGTATAACCACTCGAGATTCCAAAACTTACTTTTCATCTCTCTTGCTTTACTTTAAAGTTACGGCAGGTTTGAAATTATACTGATAGCTGTGGTTTAAAAAAAAATTATTTAAAAATATATTAAAATAATATTTTTTTATTTTTAAAAAATTATTTTTAATATTATTATATAAAAATACTTTAAAAATATATAAAAAAATAAAATTTAAGAGAACGTGATTTGTACCACGTTCCCAAACAAATCATTAGATTTGTTGTGTATCATGTTATGTTGTAAAGCTATTTTTTTATATTAAAAATAATGTTCAAGTATTGTGAATGCATTTTTAAAAAATAAATTTACAACTCGAGCCATCCCAATTAAAAAATAGACAACAACAATAGATAGACTATAATTTTTTTAAAAAAAATATCACGATAACTTGGAAAAAAATATTTTTTTAAAAAAGAAAAAATATTGTAGCTCATGCATAAAATTTCCAAATCAAATTACAAAACTAAAAAAAAATAGTTCAAGTTAACTCGAGTTAACATAATAAATATGTAATCCTAGTAATCAAGGACAAGTCAACCTAAATTATTCTGTCAAATTTGTAGGCCAAGCAATGAAATTAAAATGATTTGATAAAAAAAAAGCTCATCTTGAAAAGAATATAGCAATCTAGGTTAACTTTTTTAACTCGTAAATCAGATTATTAGATTGAAAATACTCTATATGAAAAAAATATAGAACTTAATTTTCAATTAATCAAATATTAAAGGATAAAATTAGGATAACATCTAGAAAACAAAACAAAAAAAATCACAAAGCTTATCTTAAAAAAGATATATCAACTTGAGCTAACTTTTCAACCCATAAATTGAGTTATTATATCGAAAGTACTTTATCTGAAAAAATCATGAAACTCAATTTTTTAATTAATTAAATATTAAATTAAAAAATTTTAAAAAAATTCAATTATACGAGAGGATTCAAGAAAAAATAACAATTAAAAAAATAAAGATCAAAATTAAAACATAAAATAAATTCTCTATAATAATTAGAAGAATGAAGACTGTAATTGAAATAAAAAGAAAACAGGAGGATGGATTTTAATTTTTTCAAGGGATGAAATTGAAAAAAATAAAAAAATTTAAAATAAATAAAAATAATAAAAATAATAAGAACTATAATTGACATATAAAAACAATAGGAGGGCACCTTTTATTATGGCTGGGGCAATGCCAAAATTGAGAGTAGGAAAAATTTTGTCGCCACCCAACCACCATGAATCATCATATACACACCATTCCATTGGAAGAGGCACCACTCGACGATGAGAGATAACGATCAGCCTTTTTTGGCTGTTGGAAGAGGCTAAACTCGCAGCTTGAACGCGGCGGCCCTTCCTCACATATTGACATGTGTTCTTCAAGCGCCGACTCTCTTTTAAAATTATCAAAAAATTCCTTAACAAAAAACAGTCATCCTCAAATTGAAAAACTTAAAATTATATCCCATTTTGATCTATTCACATATTCTTTTAGTAGATATCACACATATATTCACTCCTATTTAAATAAAAAAAAAAAAAAAAATCACAATCTAA